ATCATTAATTTAAAAAAACTTAGAAAAAAAATGTATTAAGTGAAAAGTAAAAGGGAGTTTGAGGGTGTTTGGGGTAGTTTAGAGAATATTTATTTTAAAACTAATTTTTTTTATAAATTTAAAATTTTATAAAATAGAAATTTAAAAATTAACTTTTAAAAGTGTTTTAAAGTAAATTTTTTTTAAATACACATTTAAATTTTTTTAAAATTATTTAAAACTAATTTTAAAAGTTAACTTTTATTTTTTCCTCAAAAAAAATTTGTGAAAGTAGGATTTACTTTTTAATGCCAAACACCCTCTCTACATTACTTGTACAACAAAACTTTCTATGCCTTTCTATAATTCTCTGGAACCTACCTGAACTTGCTTTCCTCTGAAAATGTTAGAAAGAACTAAAGAAGAACTACTTATAGAAAGGAAAAAAGTTTCAAAACAGTGAATATAATTGAAAGAAGATGGATATCAGAGGGAGGCCTACTGTATGGGCCTTCCTCTCCGCCCATTACTGGTAAAAACTTATTTTTTATTTTTTATTTTATTAAATTTAAAAGTTTTAATTTATTATCTTATATTATGATATTTTTAACTTTTTATCTTATTAGATTTATAAATTTTAACCCTTCACTTATTAAAATCAAAGAAAATAGCTTTTATTTTATAGTGATTGTTAATTCTGTTAATTGAAAGTAAATTTTTATCAACTAATAGTTAATTAATAGTCAATTAATAAAATTAGTAAAATATTATAAAGTTGGTTCTGTTAACTCTATTAACTAAAAAAAAAATTTTAACAATTAACAATCAGTTAATATAGTTAATAGTCAATTAATATAACTAATTAAATATTATAAAGTGAAAGTTATTTATTTTAATTTTAATAGATAAAAAGTTAAAAGTTTTATAATATAAAATAATAAATTAAAATTTATAAATTTAATAAAATAAAAAATTATAAATATTATAATATAAAATGAATCACTAAAACGTTCTTGATAAAGAAAGAGGGTAAAAGTGGGCTTTTACCCCAATTGCGGTAGCAAAGTCTTTCATATGCAGAGGAACTGGAATTAATTGCACAACGTGGCTTCTTTCCCTTCCTCACGTACTGCGTTATTCTTTTCCTCTTCCCCTCTTTTGTAATAACCCCCTTTAATGTCTCAATGGCATTTATGATTCCGACCCATTTTTTTCCCCCCCGGCCCTCAACGGAGAAAAACAATGTCCTTTCGGTCAACCTAAATGCGGGAGTCGAAGAATAGGGACAAAAGATTTTCTAAGAAAAATACGGAAGCAAATTATGAATGTCATCCCAGTTCGTATTATCACCTGCTTCCGTATACAGAATTGGATTTTACGATATGTTTGAATAAAATTAAATGACGGAAAGTGAAGGAAAAAGGAAGA